AAAAAAAAAATTTATTACGAATGGCATTTATCGTTTGACAGTTCGGCAACCGGCAAGTGGTTGTAAACAAGCTGTGCTAGTAAAATGAAATTATTAAAATAAACGGTTTTAAATAAAAGTCAGCAATAATGCTAAGTTTAGTTCAATTATTGGTTTAAGAAGAGAAGTGCAAGAACGCGGCCTCGAATCATGCGACATTTGAAGGATAGCTCCAACCCTCTAAGAGCTACCGCCGGCACTGCAAGCACTGTTTTATTTTATCTTTTTGTGTTCATATTCAAAGCATATTCCAGACATTCAAAAGAAGCTGTAGTATATTTGGTTAATGCACAGAAAAACGACTTCGATCAACTTCCTCTTCAATTTTTATCAGAAAGAAGTTCCACAGCAAATTACTTCAATTTAGGGAATTCGGTATGTCGGTAGGTTTAAAAGAAGTACTTCAGTTGATAGAGAAAAAAATTTGCAGTCAGTTCACTTTTGATTCTCCAAAAGCACTTTCATCACGAGAACTGTAATTTCAAATTGTTGTTTTGTGGTTATTTTCACGATATTATGTAAAAGCAAAATACATTGCAAATGTTAATATCGTTTAAACTATAAAAAAACTAAACTAATTTGACATGCTTTTCAAGTTTTGCTCCTAAATAGGCTCCAAAAACCTTCCCAGCAACCACAAAAATGTAGTTGCCTGAATACACACTTTGTGGCAACTGCAGTTGCCAGTTGAGAGTTGTCAGTTGCCATTTGTAATATCGTTTCGACAAGTAGCAACGCAACTAAAGTTCGGTTGCTATCGATAATCGACCCATAAATTATCAGAAATGTCAATGGCAAAGTTAGACATTGAACAAAAGTATGTTCCACATGACATTGTTTAAAAGCCACGCATTTTTTGAGCTAGTGGAAATTTAACTCAAGGAATATAAAATAATCGTTTTTTCTGGCTCAAAACTTGCTTATAACTTAGTTGCGATATTTAATAAAAACTTGTTTAGAGGTTATTATTTGGTTTTCACTTAACATTCAACCCTTAATTACAATTATTTAAGTGACCACAATAATTCTCAGAAAGTTACTATATTATCTGATTTTAATGTGATAAATTTCTCTTATATAGGGATGATGAAGAGGCAACAGGTGGTGGAGACGATGAAGAAAATTCAGCTGCTGCTGCAGTACCCGTTAAGAAACCATCTGCTTGGGGAAAGCAGCGTAAAGGAAAAGGTGGCAAAGGTGGTAAAAAATCCGCAAATAACCAAAAGCGCAAAGCACCGGCCAACGCCGCACAACATAATAAAACGCCTGTTTCAACATCCTCTGCAAATGCAGAGACACAAGAACAGAACGAAGACTCAGACTCTGATGCGGACGCCAGCGATGGGGAGGAAAAGGATTTAACTGGAGACGAATCCGACAGCGATAAACCACAAAACAACAAGAGCGAAGCTTATGATGATGATGATGACGATGAGGCTTGGGAAAGGCTTCAGGCCAAGCTAAACAAGCGTGAGAAGCTTGAAGGTAAATCACGCATATCTCATACAGTGCACTGTCCCTACTTCCCAGAGGAAAAGCAAGAATACTGGTGGACATATATCTGCGACCGGAAATCGCGCTCGCTTCTCACGGCGCCCTACCACGTCAC